CCCCTCAAATTTCTCACCTTGGCTCAGCCCGTGAGCCGCCCTGTGTCACCAAAACCCCCCCAGCCTCGGGGCTCGCGTGCACCCACGTGGGGAGCAGCACCCACTGACACGCAGCCCCACGGTGCCGCCTCGTCCCCACACGCTGGGAGCCAGGACAGCTCCGCGGGCACCGGGAGCCTTCGCCCTCATCCCTGTGCCACCAGAGCCGGAGGAGCTATTAGGGAGCCGAGCTTGTGCGCGCACCTAAGCGCCTGAAAATAGCTGGGAGAAAGGAAATCAATTACCGGGCGCAGCCTGGCCCGCAGTCATTAACCGAATACGACAGAGATTTTGCTCTCCGCCGCTCAGCTTCCACGGCGGCTTTTATCCAAGACTGCTCTGATTTGATTTCCTTCCCCCATTGTGCCCGGCTGTAACCGGTCACCGATTTCACCCCTTGCAGGGGGACGTGCCGTGGGGCCGCGGGCAGGAGGAGGGCTGAGGCCGCCCCAGCACCCCACGCAGCCCCCCCAGTTTGAGCAAGCCGGAGCAGCCACGGTTGCTCCTCCGCGGCCAGGAGCTCCTGGCTCCCCTGCGCAAGCTTCGGGCAGATCCTACATCAGGGAGTTTTTTTTTGCCCCATGCACTGACCCGGAGGCAGGCTCTGCGCCGCGTGAGCGGGGCTGGGGGTCTGGCCGTGCCCCCGGCACAGCCCTTGCTGCTGACTCAGCTGTTTCAGGGGGTTGGTTTGGAAAGACGGAGGTCGACAGGGCATCGTCTGCGGAGAAAAGCGCTTCCGAGGCGAGGAGTGACCCCAGGCTTCAAAAAAAATGCCCTCGATGGCAAAGAGCAGCAGACTCCAGGGTGGGTCAGGAAGCGGCTGTGCCACGCTCAGCCCCGGGGTCAGGAGGGGGCTCCGGAGCCAGAAGCTCGGTGCCGGGGGAGCAGCGGCGGGTTTGCAGAAGCAGCCGGCTGGCGGAAGGCTCTTGGCACCGGATTGATCTGACAGATGGATGTGCTGCTCCTCGGGCACGACCTCGCCATCCATCCATCCATCCATCCATCCATCCATCCATCCGCTCCCCCACGGCGAGGCATCAGCCGGGACCCCCCCAACCTCACCCCGCGACCCTGGCAAGGCACCGGCACCACCAAAACGCCCGGCCCCTGGCTGCTGCTCCCGGCTCTGTTATTGTAGGGTTGCTGAGAAGCACGGGGCTGACGCTGCCGAATTATTATTAGATTGAGGGGGTGGAGAGGGGCTGGGAAAAACATCAGCCAAAGGATTTGATCCATCAAATTGAAAGCCAGAAGAGTGCAGAAATCTGCGTGGTTCTTCCGATGTCACCCAGTAACACCAACAGCTGGATTGGATTTTGGGTATAAGCACATTGGCACGGTCCCCTTTGATTAATATCCTGTATAACGACTAATTAATTGTAGAGGGGACATGTATTTGAATAGTTACTGTGCAATAATGAAATGTCAAGTGAGCATTAAAACACACTTAACAAAGGTTTAACGACTCCCAGCATCCGCGCCACGCGCCCCGGCACCTCCGCCCGCGCCCAGCCGCGGCGCTGGGCTGCCGCTCGATATGTTTTTAAATAACCCCCCCTGGTATTTCATCAGCCCCCGTTAACTGTGTTATTGGATCTCAATTAGCTCCTGATTGGAAAGTGTTCCGCTCTGACACGCGCGGCCGGAGCCGCCGCCTCGTCGCTTGCCGATGGTGTTTTCCTTCGGTCAGGGGAATTCGGCGGGTGCCGGCAGCCCTGTAAATCGCTGCCTCAACTGGCCCTGCCAGAACAATGAGCCGCTTAATAATTAATACCCACCTATTAATCTGCCCCCCCTCCTGCAGAGCAGAGAGGGGAGAGAGCGCACGAGCCTCAATCCGTGTTGTGGCACCCGGAAGACTCCGGCGGGTCCTCACCGGGAGCTCAGACACTGCCACCACCCAGCTCAGGTGGCACCTACAGGTCCAAGAGTGCCCCACGGATCCCCTTGGTGAGGTCCCAGTGAGGAGACCCCCCCCCCATCCCCTTACTCCCAGGCCCCCTGCCAGCCCCGATGCCCACGCAGCTCCCCGGCAGTGCCCAGCAATCGCTGCCCCTTGCTCACACCGACCCCCCCCGTGGTCCCCCCAAAGCCCAGTAAGGCAGAGGGGAAGGCAGGAGCCTTCACAGCACCAGCATTCCCAGCAAAGCCCACCCAGTGCTGCCCAGTACCAGCCCAGCGCTGCCTCACCGGCACTCCCCCAGGCAGCAATGCTGAATGAATGCAAAACCAACCAGGCACCAGGAGCTCACTGCTGGGCTCAAGCTCAGGCAAACCCCCCCTAATGCTCATCAGCCCCCGTTAATTATATTATTGAATGGCAATTAGCTCCCCAGGGGAGAGGGCTGTGCATCACACCTGGGCTGGCAAAGAGCTGGTCCAGCCGTGCTCCCGGCGACCACCAGCACAGGTTGGGGTGAACCACCCCGTTCTCCCCCAGGTCTGTGATTTTCAAAGGGTCCTGGCTCCACATTTTACATAACTTGGGGACAAAGTATAACCATCAAACATCTGGGG